ATTATATTGTTCAGCAAGTATTTTCGAGGAAATATTGTTATTCGCATAAAATATTCAGAATTTTCATTATATCTACTGATTTCCATCGGGTAGCGATATTTACCATTCATTAGGCAGATTTTGCATTCCCTAGTTGACAACTCCTCCAAAACTGAATTTTAATAACTCTCATATCAGGTGATAGGTGGAAAATCATAAAGAAATCACAATCCTTCCTCTGTTTCTATTCATATGAATTGAAAAGTTTCAAAATCAGTCATATTGATCCCAAAACCAAATATCTGAATGTTTTCCCAGATTTGCCTGAGCTGTTACCAAGAAATATACTCACAATATTTTGTTGAATTCTATATTTTATCTCTAGATTCACCTCTCAACACTTTCTATAGCCCTTGTATACCTACATTAGTAGTACATTTCTCAAGTGAAATACGTTTTGCGTGTCTTGCAATTACTGTTGCTATGCACGATTTGATTACATATTATTAGGTAGAAAATTTGCATTTCGATGAAATAAATTGTTTTGAATGCCTCAGAAATAGCGTTATTCTATGAACAATAATCACTAACCAATCACTTTTTCATATTAAATTTTATAAAGAGACTGTTTCCGTTTCACAGAATTGAAACTTTTTCGAAAATAGGAAGATTCGGTTCAAACAGTTTTATTTTGTTCACTGTTTTCTTCACTTCTCGATTTGATGAAGATGATATTAATAATAATATCAATAACTGGTGCAAAACCGAACCGGCAGCCCAGGCGCACCCGGGAAGGAGAACACTATTCTCCCTCCGGTGCCGGGGTCCACTGGGCTAACCACCCGGTGAACCCAACACTTGGTTCCTAGCAATCGAGGAAGGGGCCCACACAATCGACCCGCTCGGAGGGGTCAGAAGCAAGGTGTTGGGGCCCATAACGGTGATTTGTCTACCGATGACAACCCTGACAATGACAACGGACGCTTCGAGTGGACGCATGAGCTAAGAGATAGCCCTATGCATTGCTACGAGAGTAGTGAGCCTGCACGAAGAGGGTACATGGCGAGATTACATGCTCTGTGGTGTGAAACACATCCGGAGAATGCCGCCTTTTCCGCCCAAAATCTTAGGGATTACGTATTCTATCTTCGGCGGCAGTGCTATATAGCTCCTCCTCAGCCTGCTAACGAAGAGGTAGAAGTGACAGTTCTACCACCCGTTGGCACAGCTGGAGAGGAGACTCTCATCATGCCACCAATGAAGTCAATCAAAACACGCAGGGCGCTCCACAGAATTAGGCCCCTGAAGCTACAAGAACTGGCTTGCTTGGATGCGGAGGTTCATACTGTTCTAACAGAAGAGGCTTTGCGGTTCGGAAGATTGAACGGCGTATACACAAGATGGAGGCTAAGATCCCTTCGGCGAGACAACATGCGTCTCGTATCCAATATGTGATGGATAACAGGGCGGCCAACAGGCCCTTCACGCCTGCAGTGCGGCAAGTAGCCGCCAATTTACGACGTATCCATCACACTTTACGTCAAGGCGTGCTGCTGACCACCAAACAGCACTGCCTTGATAGGAAACGAATGCCAATGGCTGCTAAGAAGTCACTAGCGAGGCGAGCGAGAAGTATCGCGGAAAACCTAAGGTTCCGCGAGAAACCTTCTCGCTTATTCCAAGAGCCTCCACGTGTTGTGGATAATCCGCCGACCGCTGATCAGGTGGAATCCTTCTGTAAAGATATCTATGAACAACCGCAGCCACTCAACTTAGATACTCCAGCCCTAGCGCATTTCGAAGCTTCGAGAGCTTCGACAGCCTGAGTTCAATGAACTGCGCAATCCGATAACCCCGGATGACGTTCGAAGAGCCCTTGTGGGTTCCAAGAACTCTGCTGCTCCAGGCCCAGATGGAATGAACACTTATTGGTGGAAAAAACGACCAAGCACACACCGCCATCTGGCCAGAGTTTCCAACTCATGGCTAGATGGAGAGCAGCCGAATACAGATTGGTTTGTCGAGGGGCGGACCGTTCTCATCCCCAAAAGCGGAGATTTGTCGATTCCTAAGAATCACAGATCGATAACGTGCTTGAATTCGTGTTATAAGTTGTTAACAAGTATCTTATAGACACGAATACTCACAGCAGTTGACCGAGTGTTCGAACGGATATATGATCAGCGAGGGTCGAAGAGAGGAGTCGCTGGATGTAAAGAGAACCTACTCATCGATAGATGTGTAACGCAGGACTGGATACAATATAAGCGTAACCTCTTTATGGCCTGGATCGATTACCATAAGGCATTTGATACAATTTCGCATGAGCTCATCTGGCATTTGCTCAGATGCCTTGCGGTACCCGACAAAATAGTGAGATGCATTGAACAACTGATACCACTTTGGCGAACTCGCTTCACCATAACATCTGGTCAAGCCAGAGTCCAAACAGGGTGGGTCACATTCAGAAGAGGTGTATTTCAGGGTGATTCTCTCAGTCCCCTTCTCTTCTGCATCTCACTATTGCCATTATCCGTTGCGCTCAGAAATACTCGAGGGCACCCCCGGAAACCGAAGACACAAGGTCACCCATTTATTTTATATGGATGATCTTGAACTGTATGCCTCTGGAGAGAAGGATCTCCATCACTCCTTGAGGGTGGTGGAAGAGTACACGCATGTTATCGGTATGAAATTCGGGATAGACAAATGTGCAATGGTCCATCTCAAAAGAGGACGATGCGGGGACTACGTAGAGGATGTGCAGCTCGTAGATGAAAGCATCTTACACCATCTCTGGATGCCGGAAAGACGTATACTCACCTCGGAGTGGAACAACGCCACTCACAAGAGGTAACAGCAGTGACAAACATAGGGAAAACAAAGTTGACACAACAAATATGCTTGCCGTTCCAATCTTACCCTACTCGTTTGGAGTAATGAGTGGACTCGGGAGGAGCTGTATCAACTCGACGTGAAGACCCAAAAAATGATGCATCTCTTTAGGAGTTTGCATCCCAAATCGTCCGTTCCACGGTTGTACTCCCACCAAAAACAGAGAGACTGTGAACTTTTGCGTTTGGAGTGTCTACATGACAGGATGGTACAGGATACAGCCTGTAAAGTCGTCAGGAGTTCGTATCCATTTCTCTGCATGGTCCGTGACCATGAGAGAGCAGGAATTGGAGCATTTGTCTTTAGGACAGCTGCCCGAGCATTTCGACACTGAACGAGGTGACCACAACTCTGTCACCGAGTTGGAACCCGTTCAACGAAAGGCTCAGATAAAAGCCGCAGAGATCACCTTACTTCTACGGAAACACAAAGATAAGCCAATGCATGGGGTCTTCTTCAATAGTAATGGAGACCTTGGCTTATCAAAGCGCCTGAAGTTCGCTTTTCACAGGTCGAGTGGGGTGAAGTCGGAAACGGAGGGGTTCATCATGGCTTTCCGGACGGTGTCTTCAACACCCTAGTCTACCGCAGTCGGGTGATGGGTATAGAGGTTCCTGACACAAGGTGCAGGGCCTGCCGCGAAGCGCTCGAGACCCTAATGCACTTGCTATCAGCATGTCCAGCATATGCGGTCTCGGCTTATATCCATCGACATAACGCGGCTCTAAGAGTGCTATATTACCATCTACGGCACTCTTACGGTATTGACGATACACCGGTGTGGCTCCAGGTGATATTGAATTCGTTATGGGGAACGAGGAGTGCCGAATTTATTGGAACTATTCATTTCCCACCTTCAGGCTCATGCAAGCTAATAAGCCTGATGTAGTCCTTCTCGACCACTAGAGCAAAACGATATTTATCGTGGAGTTTTCGCTTCTGGCGAGACGAATATCGTCCGAAAATAGGAGAAAAAAAGAATGAAATATCAAGATTTTTCTCTTCGAACTCCGCAGACTCTATGCAGACCAGTCTGTCGAGATGGTTGTTCTGATTATTGCAGTCCTTTGTGGAATGTGATAGCGACCTACTAGATAGATTAGTTTCGTATTTTCGCATTTATGACGATGTATCTATGTAGTTGTTCGTAAAATTATGTTTTTGCTGAGAACTGGTTTATTTTAGGCAAAAAACCCAAGAGACATTTTTGTAAAGAAAGAAACAGGCTATCGGAAATTTCAAATTTTGGTGTCATTAGCAATTGATGTTTTCTTACGGCGCCAAGATTTGGATTCATACGTCAAATATGATATAACTGGCCGATACTTGATGAAAATCCATATTGAAACTAATTAATACAGTTTACTGTATGATTTTCACTATAAAAGGTTATACAAAAACCGCGACACGTGTTTCGCCATGCAATAGCTTTCTCCACCGTTAATAATGTTCTTAACGCTTGAGGAAGCTATTGTGTCGTGGTTCTTGTGAAATCATAGTGAAAATCATATAATAAACTGAATCAATGAGTTCCATTCGTCAAAGACTGAAGTTCATCATCGAAATCTTTAAATGACCTAGCATCTTCAGCCATCATTATAACATCGTTGTATAACCAGTGATGCACTGTTTGGAACCTTTGGTGTAGTAATGTAGTAGTGTAGTAGAACTGAATATTACTGGAGTTTTTTCCAACACCAAACCGTTATTTCAACACCTGGACACGTGTTTCGATCACTAAGTGATCATCTCCAAGAGGAAGATCAAAATTGATGGTGTTGGGAAAAAACTTCAGTAATATTCATCGTTGTATGAGATAAGATTATCAGAACTATTATGATTTGGCATGTCACAAGAGAAAAAAAAAAAACGAGTTGCCTACAAATACGGCAACTATTATTACTTCTATAATGATATAATGTTTTTTAACGTTCACTATATACTTTCGAGTTTTATCATTTGAATTTCGGTTTTCTGTACTGTTCGCATTGTATTGTCTACATTTTTGAAACGAAATTAGTATTTATATTGCCTTTCTCATATTACTTTTCCACTAGTATTGTTTGTCGATCTCTGGAATTGGCAATTACCATCAATGTATTTATAGAGCCTTAGTAGTTGGAAAAGTTCATTAGAAAAATGTTCAGAGGAAACACTCACATTGAACCAGAAACATCGCCAACAAAAAACCAGTACCAGAGAATACAGAAACTCCTATCCTTGAGTATATCAGATAACAAACAACCATGGCTTCTATGAGGTATATCCAAGCATCATTCAAGAGTACAACCAACTGTTCGAAAGCAAACACATCTTTGGTGATTAGAGTCACAACTTTTCCCATGGTAGTTTCAGTCAGATGATGAGAGCCAAGCCTCAGAGCTTTCCTGTAGATCAGAGCTGTGAGGGCTGTTCTGATTTTGATGCCCTCTTCCGTTACAAACTGATAGTAGTTCTGATAGTATATTATTTCCGATACGTTTAGACCAATCAACAGAACTATATAGATGTAGAGGTCGGACTCAGTTGGCCTAGCATCGGCTGGTTGGAAGTGTGCAAGTATTTTGCTCATTATCGCTGGTTGTATAAATCTGAAATGATACAGAAAATCTGTAAATACAAGGCTCAGTACCAATGAATTAATATTATTGTGCATTGAAGGTTAATGTGTCGACCTAACAAACCAGGCAGGGTGCAAAGGCATGGATCAATGGAAGTTATCCATTGGATACATGTCTGAATCTTTCTTCTCTCAATCTGGGCCAATTCAGACTGAAAAACTTACCAACCTCAATCGAATCGAGCAAAGCAGAAATTTCGGAATATGTGGAGGAACGAATATCTAACATATGTGATGGAATCGTTCGATTTTCACTAGACGGTTGATCTTTCTCTTGAAGATGATCTGATCCAAACACGTGTCGAGGTGTTAAAAATAATGGTTTGGTGTTGAGAAAAAACTTCAATAATATTCAGTTCTACAAAAACGCAACACGTGTTTCGCTATGTAGTAGCTTCTTCAGAAGTGTCTTTACTTTACTAATATCTCAAGAATACGAACAATATATCTGAGATATGAAGTGAGCACATGTGAAAAAGAAATTACTCTTAACCTTCATGGTATATTATCGAGGGTCTCAACTGATATTGCAAATGACTCTGCTGACTTTTTCTTCAATGCGAGTACTAGTGCTTTAATCAATCACTCTGTATCAAACTTGTCCCTGCCATGAACAACATGAGGTGTATACTAAATAGCATCATTACTCCATTAGTATACTTGACAAACCAATCACTTTTTCAAGAAAGATATATTCAAAACAGCCTCAATAATTCTGTTAAAAAAAAGCTAATGAATAATGAATAGAAAATTATGGGCAGATATCTTTCTCGAAGTCGCTATCTGAAATCTTTGAAAAAATACTAGCCAATCGTAATAGATCCTTCCTATAATAAATAACCTACTATGTGATAGTCACGTGTAGTCAGGAAAAAAAGATCTACATAAAAGACTTCCCGCTTTTTGTTTATTCATGTTTTGCAAAAGATTGATGATGGAAATTATGTTGTAAACCTTCTATCAGACCTATTACACCACTACCAAATCTCATGCTGTCATGACAGCATGAGATTTGGATATGGAGAACTGGATATCAAACTATCTGGGAAATTGAAATTTTTGGGATCGCAGATAGATAAAGTCAGCTTACCTGGGAAGAACACATAGGCGGTGTCTGTAAAAAAACTCAATAGATCTGATTTTGCAATTTCGCAAATGAAGTTTCGTCTAGACCCGGCCTCTTGACTGTATATTATGCCTTAGCGTACTCCCACATATCACAAAATATTCTCTGTTGGGGCAGAGCTACAAACTTCATGAATATTCTTGTGATACAAAAATAAATTATAAGATTGATTTTTTAATTGGGATATTTTAATAGTTGTAGACCAATTATGATTCAGAATGAAATCTCAAGTGGATTCTGTATATACAGGGTGTTTATTAAATATGCGGCAAAAAATCAAGGAACTATTCCTTGAACTATTCTTGAAATATTTTGTCTCCTGATGATTTTTGATAGGGCGTTTTATTTCGAAGATACCGGGCGAAAAATAGTTTCGACAATAACAATTTTGGTAATTTTAAAATTATTAACGTAGCCGAAATGAAAGTATAGCGTACTACACTGGACCTACCAAGTAATAAAAAGTCTAATAATTCCGCTACTTCAGTTTCTGGGGGATGTACAATTGGTTACAAGAAATGCAATGTGGTTTATACACGAAGGTGCACCAACGCATTTTAACATATTGGCTAGAAAGTTTTCAACAGTAATATACGGAAATCGCTGGATTGGTCGAGGTGGACCTCACTTATAGCCTGCTCATTAGTTTATACTACTTCAGTGGAAGATTCGAGAAATCAGATAATTGCTGGGTGTGTCGCAATCAGAAACGAGTCTGGTATTTTTGAAAAAAATCGGGAGTCGATGAGGAGAAGATTGGATTCTTGCATCCACGTGAGGGGGGGGTTAGGCATTTCCAACAGTTCTTGTAGATTAGGAAAAATTACATGTACTTTTTGATAATGAATTGTCATTGTTGAAATTCGTTTTCGCTCCGTATCTTCGAAACAAAGCGCCCTATCAAAAATCATCAAGAGACAAAATATCCTCAGAATAGTCCCTTACATTTTGCCGCATGTTTAATGAACACTCTGTATATTCTTAGCTCGGCCAACTGAAGAAAACCATAGATCTCGTGTTTTGGAACACTGAAAAACTTTTTGTCTGGTATGGATGATATGTTTTTAAAATTAGGTATAAAACATATTTAACCATTTTGGTGGTAGTAATGGTGAAATTTAATCCAAAAATAACCTGAAAAAATATTTTTGGGAATGTTAACTAATGACACGGAATATGCAGCAAAATAGGCAACCGTCGAGACCTACCTTTTACAAAAAAAATTCTTCAATTAGATAATTGTAACAGTTGTATTCACACAGAGTTGACAACAATAACAACAAAAATGGCATCTGTCAAATTGGATCATTAGATCTGTGATTGGATATTGAAATACACTTGGCAACTTCCGCTCTAGACACGATCAATTTTATTGGTCAACAGACACGCGGCCAATTTAAATTCTTGCTCTTCGAATTGTTCTTTTTTCTGCAAATATAAAGAGATCTTGGGGCCGATTAGGTTTGATAAGTATGATATACCCCTAACTCAATCTGTCTATGAGCAAATCAGTATCATTTTTCATAGCAAGAAACAAGCCCATTGCGAAGGCTGCTTCTCAAAAGCTTGGGACACTGTTACGAACCAGCTGAAGCTGCTGGATTCCAACCAGGAAAGAACAACCTGATTGAAGACGCGAACATCACTTTCAACCCAGATTGTCTGGAACTTCGAAGAAAAGTTGGAGATTTGTTTCTCTACTATAGATTCTTTCACGAGAAGTTCAAGTGACTTGACACAATTGATTCCACCAAGAGCGGTACATATGAAAAATACGTGACGGACTGTGGCTGCTCATCGTTTTGAGGTTCAACCCAGTACACCTCGAACTCCACTGATCAAGACCTCTATCAATTGGTGAACTGCTTTTTCTGGAATGAACTCTCTGAGAACGTTTTCGCAAATGGATTTGATCTTCAGCGATTCGAATCCAACGTAAATCACTACTTTTGCACAGGCACCGCTCTTAGAGCGCCTTGAGAATTTTTTTGTAGTGCTTGTGTTTTGTTTTAAAAAACTACATTATGATACAATCAATGGAATCAAACAATGCAAATCAAGTAAATTCCTGACAAACGCAAAGTCAAAGCTGTTGTGAATAAACTTTCTGTGGATGAATGTTATTATTAGCATATTTGAAGATATTTGACAATGTTCCAGTATTATCATAACAAAATAGACAGATACAAGAATAATTCTCGTTTGATGTGGAAAACCTTATAAACCCTTGTTAATAGTAATGATCATATATTATTAAAAAAGGTGAACCTAACATGACTGAAACTTTCAACCTATACTTTGTAAACAGCATCCAACATATAGTCCAAGATATTGAGAATTCCGAACCATGGTTCAATTTGGATGATAATTTATATTTGCCCTTCAGCACCTTCAGATTGATCACCTTAAGAGATTTGAATTATATAATTGGGTCATTAGATAATGTAGTATCCATGAAATCTTGAATTGTAAAATGTTAAAGCAAATATTTGAAACAGCTGGTCATGCAATCCTCAATTTAATCAATACATCGCTCCAGAGAATGGTCAATTGCCCGAATTATTAAAAATAAGTACCATTACCTAAAGTTACAAACACTATAAGAGCAAGTGAATTTATACCTATTAATACCTTACCGCCAATAGAGAAAGTTTTAGAAATAGCAGTATATAATCAATTATTAGAGTTTATTGACAAAAATCAAATCATGTTTAGCAATCAATCTGATTTTCGAAAAAAACATTTTTGTGAAACAGCACTACAGTTATCATTAACTAAATTTACTAATGAAACAGATAAAGGTAAATATGTTGTAGCTGTCTTTTTAGATTCCAAAAGGGCTTTTGAAACAATCGATAGAAGTATTTTGCTTCAGAAGCTAAGAAGATATGGGCTTGAGGGGATGGTTTATGAATGGATAAGTAATTATGCATCAAATAGGAAACGAAGAGTACGTGTAGACGATTATTTGTCATCATATATAACAAATCACACTGGAGTCTCACAAGGTAGTGTGCTTGGTCCCCTATTATTCATTCTGTATCTGAATGATATTCAATTATTCACACACTGTGAATTCATCAACTTATTTGCAGATAATACCTTATTGGCCTGTACTGGAGTAAATTCAGAAGAAACTGTTGGCAGAATGAATAAAGTTCTAGAGAAAGTAGAAAAATATCTGGAAACCAATAAAATGAAACTTAACGTTGAGAAAACGAGAGCAATGATAATTACTACTAAATTCAAATATAATCAAATAAATAGAAACAACATAAATATAAAAATTGAAGATGAACGTACAGAAATAGTAACAAGTCACATTCATATAAATAGAACAAATACAAGAAATATTATGAGCAGTTTATTTTTTAAAGGTTTTGTCCAATTCAATGATTTAGGTACCTGATTCAATTAAATCTACTCTATCATTAATGATTTTCAATAGCGAACTGTTAAAATATATTCATGATGGAAATTGAAAAATTCCTTTTTGTTCAGTTCAAATTATGTATGTATATGTAGTTGTATCATTTATATACATTGTTGATTATATTATATTTTGAGATAGCTAACCTGTATATTAGGAAATCCCAATTTAATAAATAAAAAAAAATTAAAAAAAATGCATTAGTTCGGACTTCCATTGTCTAATATGACATAAAGTGATTTGAAATTCCTGAAAGAATCAATGAAATTGAATTTCAAGCCAAGTTACTCCACAGTGAGGTTAATTTCATTGATTCTACCTGTACCTGAAATGATTAATAAATATTCTATTCTATAATATTCGTTTCTATTCCATTATTTTCTATAAAAAATGATATTTCACATCCTTGAAAATTTTTGAAATCAAAATGGTACAGTTCATCCACTGCATTCGATGAAAACAAGAAAGTTATTGGATATCATTTGGAGAAAATCCCACTAAGAAAAACTTACGGAAACCTGGTAATCAGGTGAAGGTGAAGTGCTGTGGACCTATAATATGGTTCAGCTTCATGAACAGATATAAAATAGTGATGGATAATCAACAGTACTCACATCAGAGCTATTTTGACAATCAACTGCATAAGTCCTAGAAGAAAATATTGTCTTCCAAAGCAGTAAAACAAAGCCCTGTATAAAGAAGGCTGTTTAGTTTTCTTCTGCTGCCGATTCCAGATCTGTTCAAGTTTTTCTCCCAGTTTCTTGGAAGAAAAGTTGGGCAAAACATCATAAATGTCATTGTCTTCCAAATCTCTCTTGAGACTTTTTCTGAACAGTGGAAATGTAAAACTGCAAGAAATTTGAAGTTGAATGTTAGTGGTCATTTCGAAAGCAAAAAATGTTCCTGAATTAGTTTTCAATAGTGAGAAAGATTGTTTTGGTATCTGATTTTCAAAGAAGGAGAAAATTAAGGAAACTCTTCATAAAATTATATACAGTGCATCTCTTCAATGTCCCCACCCCTTTTATTTTTTGAACGGGTCAACTCAAAAAATTGAAATTTGGGATGATGAAATTAATGCATGAATACTTTATTCTGAAGTGAAATTTACAGATGAAACTTTCAAGATGGCGACCGGGCGCCATATTTGGGGGAACTTGTATCCAAATTCACAACTACCGGTAGTGTACATAACAAAAAGCCCCCGGGTCATCCGTCCATTCCGGAAGAACAACAAGTGCAAATAATTGTTGTGATGTTTGTTTGAAGGTGATTGACAATGTTTCATGATGAATTTCACTAGTTCGGACTTCCATTGTCTACTATATAAAATGATTTGAAATCCCTGAAACAACTAAAAAAGAAGAATTGAAAATGAGTAGCTGAAAATAACAATTAATTAACCAAAATGAACCTGAAATGAAATGATAGTGAAATAAAATACAAGTAAATATAGAACAATTGAATAAATAAAAATAAAGAAATGAAAGAAGAAAGAAAATAAAAAGTGGAGAGATTCCAAGTCACGTTAGTTCACGACGTTTCGATTGTTAGTATCTACAATCGTCTTCACCCGAAGACGATTGTAGATACCTAATTTCCAGAAAAAATGAACGTTTGGACGGGAGTATCGGGAAATCATATTGTAGGACCTCTATTTATAGATCAAAATCCAACAGGGGAACTGTATTTGAGTATGCTGGAAACTACTGTTGATCCACTCATTACTGAAATCGTCGAAGCGAATCCTAATGAATTCGATATGGATCAATATCCATATCGAATTCATCCATTGGAATACAATATTCCAACAATATGGAGCACCACCACATCACTTTAGACACGTAAGGAACTATTTGGATACTACTTTTCCCGGTCGTTGGATTGGCCGTCGAGATCCTACAAAACAGCCAGCCCGTTCGCTAGATTTGCACCTTCGGTCTTTTTTTATGGAGCTGTTTGAAGCAAAAGGTGTACGAAACTGAACCTGCTTCAATATTGGATATACGGCAGAGAATAATAAATTGACGTTACTATGTTCGAAAAGGTTCGGCGTGAAATATCGGATATGCTGGTCATATCAATTTGCTCTAAATTGTCTAGTGTGGTCTTTATTTCAAGACAACTGAGGAAAGTGTTGAGTGAAGATGTTTTGTTAAATACCTATTACGCACTTATTCACTCCCATATAGCATATGGTACAATATTGTGGGGCAGTTCCACNTAAGGACTAATTACTATAATTACCATACGTAAGCCGCATGTTGAATATATATTTAGGTTATTGATGTTTTGTTGAGTTTGATGGTTCATACTGTATATTCAGTGTTTCTGACTGACTCGAATTCTTTACAATTTTTTTAATATGACTTGCTACAAATATAATTTACATGAACGTTGTCAAATAAAGTATGTCTATGTCTATGTCGACAAGTTCAAGGCAACCATTTCGAGCATCTCCTGAACTGACCTCAAGCTTATTACCTCATATCATATAGTCCAATTCAGTCAGGCATTTATTAAAAGTTCCGCCATTTTGAAGTAGCGGAAGATATTGACATCATATTCTAGGGTTGTGGAGAATTTGTCAGGAGCTTCAGAAAGATGTGTCACAAGACCCTCCCTTTACATTCAATTTTTTCCCAGATGGCGCCCAGTCGCCATCTTGGAAGTTTCATCTGTCAATTTCACTTCAAAACAATTTATTCATGCAATAATTTCATTATCCCAAATTTACATTTTTTGAGTTGACTCGTTCAGAAAATGAAAGGGAGGAAGGGACATTGAAGAAATGCACTGTACAAATCACATCACATTTTCATTCTCAATTCATTCAGGTCCTATGATTTTATATTCTATGCTATACGAATGAAATCAAATATCACAGTAAATCCATTCAATGTAATTGATCTCAATACGTCTGATACTTTGTAGTATTCAAATGAGTTTGTAGCAGAAAAGTGAACTGAGGAATTGGAATTTCACAATTTTATCAGTTTTTCACAATCAATAATAACCGAAAAATGTTCTTTTAGCTGCCCATATATGCGGTATGTTATTGAGCGCTACCTATTTCTGAATTTAAATGAAACAAAATGTGTGAAAGATATCGTCGAAATTGTTCATTCGTTTGAAAGACATATTGATGCCATTATGTGTAGAATATCACATTGTACAAATTTTAATGTCTGAAATTGATTTTTTGGGTAGAGCGCATCTGAAACGTCCAATTTTCCATAACTCTGGCGCATAAATCAGGCTCAAGTTGGCAAAAGGCATGAGTTATGATGACTTTAAGGATCGCTGTGGTTTGTGACTTATTCGCATACACCTGCAACTTGAGATAAACCCACAAGAAAAAGTCTGACGGGGTCAAATCGCTTGATCTCGGTGGCTAGTTCACAGCACCTCCATGTGAGGTTATCATGCCCTCAAATCGCTCGTGCAGGATATCCAATGTGGCACGAATGTGGCATGAGCTGTGTGGCACGAAATGCCGTCCTGTTGAAACCACATGTCGTAGATGTCCAGATTGTAAAATTCAGGCCAAAAGAAGTTGGTGATCATTGACCTATAGTGACTGCTATTGTCAGTGATAGCCTGGCCAACGTTGTCCTCAAAGAAAAAGGGACCAGCCCAAAGTCCACACCAAACAGTCATGCTTTCAGGACGTAATGAACGCCCTTAAATTTCATGTGGATAGGAATCGTCCCAAATTCGACAATTTTGTCTGATCACGTACTCATTCATCCAGAATGGGCCTCATAGCTGGAAATGATTTTTCGATGGGAGTTAAGGTCAGTTGTCAACTGCTCCAGAGCCCATTCAGCAAAAACACGTCGTTGTCTATTGTCGTTTACCTTCAGTTCCTGGGTCAGTTGCATTCTATATGGGTGCAGGCCCAAAATTTGCCAAGTTGTGGTCTGCGGCAGATGGAGTCCTTGTGAGCGACGCGAAATCGACTGTCTCGGATTCTCCTGCACACTCTCGCAGACAGCTGCCTTATTTTTTGTCAGTTATTGCGTTTTGTTAACGTACAGGTGTTACTCTATCGTTTACTGAACCAGTGGTCTCAAGTTCATCCACCACATTACGAGAAGTCCTCACGGTAGGACGGTTATGGCGCCCGTCAAATGGCCGAAGCGCGCGGTACGATGTTCGAACAGAACACCCATTTTGATGAAACAATTCGATTATTTGCACGGGGTGATTTGGCAAAACAGACTGAATAAATAACAATTAATCTGACAGATGTAGCTTCAACAATATGGTGGTTATCAATTGTCAGATTTCATAAGTCTCTTTTGAGATACCCAGAACTAATATTCACTGTTATTGGAATTCACTGAATCACTGATGGTATAAACAATTGAAGGATTGTATGCAGTCAGTTAACTACTTCAAAGTTCAACGTCGGAACAACTCAATTTTGCATCAATGAAGTTTTATGTAAAAACTAATTTGGATTTTCTGTCTGTTCGTTTGTCTCTACTGCTTTGTTTTCTTGGACAGTAGATTTCCTCAAGATAATATATTCTTCAATCGTATTCAGAACCACCTGAATTGAATTGAAGGGGGTGTCTATTCAGGAGAGGTTATTTTCAGTTTTAATGTGAATCACCAGAATTATAATGAGGTTACCTTAATTATTGATTTCAGTTCAAATTCTCAAAACATTTTTTCAGTGAAGGAAATTAACAGAAAACATAGAAATTTGTTTTATGAATTTTCTTCAGGGTCACTTGAGAAAAATCCACATTTGAACACTCTTGAAGGTCCCAACATTTGATAATATTATAAAAGCACGGGATGTTGATCCCTGTTCATGAAGACGCCAAAAGAAAACCTCATTCAATACATACCATAACAAAATTTTCCCATCTCTTATATCTAAACACTCACGTGAATGTAACAATTGAGAAAAAATTTGCGTTTTCTCGAGGATTCTTTTTCCGTTCTGTTCTTGTATACAAGTTCATGATTCTATAGGTTGCTAGCTAGTTTTCACATTGATGTAATTTTTCCAACAATCACTTATTCGTTCAACATGAAGGTCGATTAGAAATGAATACATGTATTCGTAAAGTGTGGTAACTGGGGAGTTCTCAAACTCAACTCAAAATTTGCAACGCAAATGGTTTTATACGAGGTACTTGTCACTGATAAATGAATGGTAATCATTTTTTTCGATGCAAATAATTTTAATGAGTTATGTGCTATGAGTTATTCTTTCTTTCGTTTTGTACGATAAGGACTGTAATCACTATAATTACCATACGTAAGCCGCATGTTGAACATTTGAAAAGAAAAGATAACCTTATTTTTGTTTCTAAGAAAATTCTCCTTGCCTTCTTGTTGATCCATTTTCTGTTCTTTGATTGTAGAGTACCCCGGGAATGATCTCGTTGGAGAAGTATGAAGGATGTTGATTAAGCGGTTGTTTTATGCTCCCTTTGAAATATCAAGTGATTCACTCTTGATCTTACTATCTCGCCGTTTCACTTTCGAATCTGTTTGAAAATCTGTTCAAAATCTGTTTTTCCGTTAATCAGCTGTCGCCCCCATACGAACAACTCTCAAAATTTGAGAACTTGTACGAGCTAAGGTCTAATGAGGTCTTACCTTTTAACGTGTGATTCATAACACGGTTGCAGAATCAATCCAGCTTCAACCAGATAAATTCTCTCAAAAAATATCTGGTCGGGGCGGGAATCGAACCCACGATCTTCCGATCGTGAGTCGGGCGCACTACCACCGCGGCAAATTCTACAATGACCTCAGACTTTTGTGCATGCGCATGAGGCCGGTATCGCCAATGATGACACTGAGGATGATTACAATAATTACATAACCTAAACTCACATATGATGAATTGAAGGGTGAATACCGAACCTACTCCCCATTAGTTTTGATAAATATCAGTTCAGCAAAATGAAAATTGTACAAACTGTACAAAATGAAACCAACAGAATTGAAAACAAGATTTTGAGCTTCTGGTAAAGGAAGAATACTCCTGCTCTCCACCGGGCATTAGCAACTCTTGAAACACCATGGTTGAAACATCATGGTCTGGGATAAATTTTAATATTCTGTCTAGATCCA